TTGATATTTCCAAGTGAAACTAAGGAGAAACATCTGACAAGCATTCAGTCTTTGAACTGCTTTACTGCTCTGCTTTGAATTGTCTTTACTGATAGAGTTGAACAACGGATTCAGCTAATTTTGCAAGAAAAATATAGCTTCAGTGCATGACTACAGTAATAAAATGTGACCGAAATGGTACCCCAGTAAGACTGTATGACTCTCCATAGGTTCTATATAACTGGTAGGTGACTATTCTTAAAAAGAAAATGTTTACATGTCTACCCAAATAGTGGACACTCACTTGTATATTGATGGAGGAGGATTGTATATTGTTGGAGGAAGAGGAATGTATTCAGCTAGAAATATGGTAAGAGCTCAGTAGTACTGGAAATACTTTGCAGAGTCTTGGGTAACTTAAAACCTCGTAATTTCTTTTCAAACTTCAAATGAAATGATTGTGGGAAACTTCTTATTTGCTCAGTAGTCTCATTTCTTCAATAAAAGACTAAAATTTTAATTTTCTTTGAAAAAGAATATTTGAGGTTCAAAATCTCTAGTGTTGGGACTGGTTCATTTGCCAAAGGATTCCCCTCAGAAGAAGATGGCCAGGGTTTCCTGATAACACTTCCACTGCGTCCCTATGAAACAGTAAGTTGTCTTTTGCAGTACCCAGGAGACATGAACATTGCTTTTCATTATACAGTTGCCTATTATATTGATTTTTTTTTCATTCAGTTTAACAACTAGCTACTTGCCTCAGTAAAAAGAAAACCTATTACAAGGCAGGCTTTATTCCATAAATATACATGGCAGGCAGTGACAAAGCATTGCTTCGGTATGATATCTTTATACCACATCTGCAACAAGGTTCCCCCTGCAAATACTGTAGCTGCTTCCTCTCATTTAGAGATGAGATCCCGTCTTGTTTGTACTAACTTTCATCCCTGTGTTGTCAGGGAGCTGCAGGATGACTCCTCTTCTTCTCTGTATTAGTCAGTGCTGATATGATGAGCACATGGAAGGTGGCACCGTTATCGTGTGGCAAATTGGCTGTGGTTTATTTCCTGTGGAGGAGAAAGACACTTTAAATTTATGAACTGAAATCTACTTGCAAATTCCACAGTCAGTTTAATTCGGTATAAGACAGACATGATGATGAAAGGGGCTGCCCTTCACATGTCCACAGCTGCTTATTCCAGCTTCCCTCTTCTGCCAGTGCTAATGCTCATTTTCCGTGTCAGGGAAATAATCCATCCGAAGACTAATTCTTTTTTCCATCTGAGTTTTGAGTCAGATAAACTCCCTGCTTAGCTCACTTGCAGCGCACAGACACTGCTGGCAGTGTGAAGGAGGCTATGGAGCAGACAGACCACGGTGCAAGGCAGAGGGGGATTCATGCTTTCATCAGCAGTAGCCGTTCATCTCCACTTAAGTTGATTGTGAACCTATGGATTAGTTAAACTGATGCCAGCCACTGAAAGGATTATTTTATTTTCCTGTTTCTTACTCCCTAAGGTCAAATACTTGCAGAATCAGATTAACCCAATATAAACCTTTCTTAAACTGGAGTAAGCAAAGCTGGTAAGAAATTTAAGCCAGAGTAAACTCCTATGCCTGTATCCATATATCCACATCTTCAGAAAGTCCTATGAGAATGTAACATGTGCTATGTGGCAAATGCAGACAGCCATAACAAAAAATCTGAGGCTGATTTATCCATCCAGCATTCTCATCACTAATAAGTAGAGCACCCAGGGAGAGCCCACACCTCAGCTTTGCAGTTTACACGGAGCTGAACTTCACGCAATCTTTGCTTTCCAGATTTCACAAGTTAAAAGTAAACCATTAAGTATTGGTTACAGGTATTCTACACAACTAATTTAAGTCAGTGCCACTCTGTTTGGCAAACTGATTCAAGTCCTGCGGTGGAATTTGGTAATATCCTAAAGCCACCAGATGCATTGGCTACACTGCCATCATTTGATTTTCCATACCCCAGAGCAGGTTTTCCCATGCAAATTCCAAAAAGAGAGGACACCATTACTTTTCTCAGTTCTTTTTCTTTTATCTGTGGCTCCCTCTGGTCCTAGATGTCTATTGATTTTGCAAAGTGTTCAGAAGCACTGAATATGAACACCTATATATACTTAGTATGAAAAACTAATATAGCGAGAATCAGTTATCATTTGTTAATCATGCATCACCCCTCTGTGTAGCCCTTCACTCACATATAGGACATCAGTACCAGAAGACTCAAGCTGTAGAGCTACAGTGGATGAGCACAAGAAAGATCATTCCGCCTAGTTAAACTATTCCTGTGTATCCCTACCACTTTTATACCACCTTCAAGAAACACTTGGCCTACTGTAGTAACTAACAGCATTAAAGATTGCTAACACTTTACCAACATTTAATCACCTCTTATGTACACAGTGCTTGACTGAAGTTTTCAGGACCAGCTCTTTGGCTGGCTCCACTCTTATCAAGCTGATAACAGAGGTTCTTCTCTCTTTACTGCAGCTCCTCTGAAATCTTTGCAAGTCTTCCGCAGGCTTTCTAGCAGATTTGGTCAACAGTGAACAGCAGTGCTTTTCCTCAGTATCACACCAATCCTATCTCTGAAGGACAGCTGGGCAACATTGTCATCCTAGCAATTTTTCCTCTCATACGTGTGCCTTTCTGGAGAGGCTTTAGGAAGCAAGGTATCACGGGGAGCAATGTTTACCAAGTGCTTTGTGGCTCCCCAGGCTGTTAGGTCTTGCATTTAGAGAGCTGACTTCTGATCTTAAACAAATGGCACAGGGCGTGAAAATTGATCAATATTTCTTTACCGCCACTAAAAGAAAAGTTATCCCTAGTACAGAGCTAGGAATCTGATACCCAGAAAAGCTCTTCAGGAGAGCTATATTGACACTGCATTTATTAAAAAGCTCAGCAAGTGTGATGTTGCTGTGTTTGCTTATCTCAGTTTATTTTTTCTTCCTTCAATCTGTGGGGAGGGGAAAAACAGCAAACTCGATCCTAAATGAAAGCAATTTGGGTCTGAACATTGTAACTTAAAGTCATAGCTAGACGAGGTTGGAAGTAAATGTTTTCTTCCTAATACAATAAAGAGTAAGAAATGTAATTTAACTATGGTTGTTCTTTTTTGAACTCCAGACACTGTATTTTACAGCTTAGGAAAATGGAGGCTTGAACTCTGTTTAAAATAAGTGTTGTTTGAAGTGGAAGTGCTTGACCTAAGGAAGTATTTTCATGTCCTGATAAAGCTCAGAGCACGCAAGTATTGTCAATACATGGAAACATGAGACCTCTTTCACTTTGTGTGAAACATATTACAGACCTAATTTGAGGCATCCATCTATGCTTGTGATAGCACTTGAACGCATCATAGTTTTCAAGTATCCAAGCCTTGACATGTGCTTACTTTAGAAATTCTCATGAATCATAGCAGAAAAAGGCAGAGAACGCAATAGTGAAAGACTAACCTATCTTTCAAAAATTACTGCAATTTAAGATAGAAGAAACAAAATCCCTTCCAGAGTTAACAGATTGCAATTTCTATCATGGCATTCTTTGTAATAAATATCTTAACTACATGTGCAAGCATATAAATTCGCCCAATGAGAATCTATCAGGTTACACACAAATACATACAAAAGACGCTTAATTCCAGAAGATTTGCTACTTCGTTACAAGCTTGGAATGAAAGCAAATTTAGGTAAATCAATTTAAATCACTGATGATTATAAAAGAGACTGTAAAACAAGTTACTGTGTAGCTAAAGGAGTTGCCCTATGTCTACCAAAAAATAGCTGAGCTTAGATCATTACAGTCAACAGTTATACTCATGTTGCATCCTCTAGAGCTTGTGTAAGACATGAGGTATTTATTTTTACAGAAACACCAGTTTCGTGTCTCCAACATACTTCTGTCCTTGCCAGAGATTAACATCTCCACAGAAGACATGAAGGAACAGATCATCAGGGCATCCCACCATTGCAAAGCCACTTGACTTAGTTTGGACCATTCTCCTTGTAAATTGCACCAACCTTTATACCATACTAGATAGGGTGTGTTTGCAGCTTCTAAGCCATTTGCTTAGATGGAACAAGCAGACAAGTATCAAATCTTTGCAGTTACAAATTGCAAGAGACCATAACTGCCTTTGCTCACTAGGACAGTTTCTTCAGTGAGGGCCTGAACCATATCCCTGCTGCATACATGGTGATGCTAGCTCACCTACAATTTGTGCTATCCATATTTGCGAAAGTTTAGTAAAAGCCTTCCTCCTCTGCAATCCTCCTACCCCTCAAGAAATCAAGAAAGAAGTGCATTGCTGCCCTTTCCTGCTGCAACTCAGGTAAAGGGAACAAGCTCCTGTGTGGAGTAGTTCACTCAAAGGTTCTGTGTTACTACTGTGCAGCTGCAGGTCTCTGTGTCCAGGATGCTGATCTGTAGCAAGGTGGGACTGTGCAAGGGGACCTAGTCCACTCAGGGCATGTCGTTGGGCTCCTTTGTTTGTCTCAGACTTTTAATATTCATTAACAGGTCTGTCATAGGAAATATATATGTATTTTTTAAAGTATATTAAAGGCTCTTGTAAGATATCTGTCAAGAGTCATACACTTTTCTGAAGGATTGCTGGTAGACAGCTGTAGTACAGACACTAGCACTACCCAAGGATTTTCCTCCCTGAGAAATCATACAAGCAATAGATCTGCCTATGGAAAGTTGCATGGGAGACAAGACACTTTGGTAGTTGGATTGGAGGTTTGTTTATTAGTTTGTTTTTAACTTAATTTAATATATATGCTCCAGTTCTGAAGAAATTACCAATTTCTTCTCCCAGGTAGAATGAGGTGTATTTTCCCCCCAATAACAAACGCAGTGTTTAGAGCCAGGATCTCCAGGATGAGGCTTTCCTGGCCGTCCCGGGCCCTCAATTCCTCCCCCAGCAGAGCTGCTGCCTCTTCGCTCCACCCTGCCGGCCGGGCATGTAAATCAGGAGCCTGGCGATGGTCACGGCCCCCAGCCCTCAGTGGGGGCTCAGCCGCGGCGCGGCGGGGAGCGATGTCCCTGCCCCGCTGGCGTCAGCCGGGAAGAGAGAGAAGGAGCCCGCCGTGAGTGAGGGCTTGGGACACGCACCAGGCGCGGGGAGCTCTCCAGCCTGCCCGGGCGCGGGAGGATGCAGCGGGGACAGCACGTCAGGTGAGGATGCACAAGGGGTTCCCCTGGCAGCGCTGCTTTTGGGGTTCAACCTGGCCGGGGACTGAGCAGGACCTGGAGCTGCAGGCCAGGTAGCGGATGGCGCTTCTGCTGATGATGACAGTCCCACTGTGCTCTGGAAACATAACCAGAGAATGTGTGGAATCAGTGGCTTTCTGTATCTTCTTTTTTTTTTAATTTCTTTTTCCCAATATAATTTGAGATTTTTGATGTGCTAATCCAAAACACTGCAGGCACATTTTTTTTTGTGATAAATATTACATTAATAGTTGTTTCAGCATGTGTGTCTTACTCCCATAAATCAATTTCATTTCTTTTTTTCTTTTTCCCTCTTTTTTTTTTTTTTT